TTTGTAGTAGCAGAAGCTCTGTTTTTTTTTTATTTGCATGCAAAAATTCATTATGGAAATAACAATCATACCATGTCTTCATATTTTTAAGCCTTTGTATTTCAGCATATGGCTGATTTACAACAAATATAATCAACAAAATGAAACATACTCCAAACACGATTATGAACATTAGCATTAAAAATAATAAATACCCTATTTTCAATATATATTTTTTAATCCTCATGGAGTAGGTATATTAAAATATGGTTACTACAGGTGCACTGATATATTAGATTGCCACCAATAAAAGGAAAATTAACATTATGGGCTATCGGATTTTTTGGCTGGTATAGCCAATAATGTTCATTGATCATTATAATATGCCTTCTGGCTGGGGGCCCCGATGCCACATGCATGCGTGCTGCTGCACGCATGCACATGGCCAGGAATGCAGCTGGGCAGCATGGAGAGCAGTGCCCTGCAGGTAAGTCTGTGGAGGGGAAGGGGCATGGGGAAGGGAAGGGGCATGGGCAGCAGATCAAGGCCCCCACAGTGAAGAAGAAAGTGGGGCTAGGGCAGGGGCAAGGGCTAGGTCTGGGGGTGTTACCCAGCCAGAGCAGTGAATGGGACCTGGGTCCGGGGATGAGATGGGGATGGAGCCACAGGCAGCTTATCCAGGAGATGGGGGGGGGGGGACAGCTCCCCACCACTGTGCACCCCACCCCTGGGGAAGGCATGGAGGGGGGCACATGCCCCCCCACATTTGCACAGAGGGCAGATGAGGGCTGCTGGCTGTGGGATCAGGGCTGTGGGCTCAGCACTCTGCTGCTTTTACCCTGGGAGCCCTGCACTGGCCATGCACCCCCTGCCCACCTGGCAGCAGTGGGAGAGGCAAGTTGAGCATCATGCTGCCCGGCGGGCAGGGGGTGCGCAGCCAGAGTGGGGCTCCCAGGACAAAGGCAGCAGGGCAAAGAACCCCAAGCCGGCAGTGGGCAGTCCACATCCACACTTTCCCCACTCTGCTCAGCTCTGGCTAAAAGCATCCCCATGCTTTAAAATGATGTCAGCAGTGCTTGAACTAAAGTTAATTTGATGAGCTTTAGTTCAAGTGCCCCTGCTGCCATTTTTAAGTGCCAGGATGCTGATCTCCTGGACAAGCTGACCACAACTCTGTCCCACCCCCTGCCCCAGCCCTAGGTCCTATTCATTGCCCTGGTTTTACAGCATCCCCAGCTTCTGCCCCTGCCCCACTCCTTCCCTCACTGTGGGGGCCTCAATCTGCCCTCCATGCCCCTTCTCTCCCCCACACACTTTCCCCTCCATAGACTTACCTGCAGGGAGCTGCTCTCCATGCTGCCTGGCTGCATTCCTGTAAATCAGTTATTGGATTGGTATTGGGTGATATGGCTCATTAATAATCGGCTATCAATATTGTCCAAGAAAATCTTTATTGATACACCCTTAATGGTTAGAATTACTCACTCTGAAATTTTTGTTCTTTTATTCTGGATTTTCAAGGTCTATTTTTCCTTGAAGTTACCAGATCTTAAATAATACAGATTTATTCCACTGTAGACCATTTTTTGCTCAAAAAAGCCCATTGGTTTTGTTTACAGTTACCCTGAATTTCTTTTTGTTGGGCTTAAAAAATAAACTTGTTTTGTAGTTTTTCCTAACCTTATGCCTGGTTTTATTACTATATAATGCAGCAATTTAAGGAATAAGGATAGTAGGGCAGCATGGTGACCCTGCTCTGAGTGGGATCAGAGAGACAACCCTTAGCTTGAGAACTAATAAAAAACAGATTATTTAGTGGCACTGCAGTTCATCTGTGATTTTCCCAAACACCAAATTCCCTTGTTTTCATCAGCTTTTGGATCTGCAGGAGGTGGCCATGACACAAGTCACATTCTGTTTTTTAATAAGCTGGAAAATCTCTTAACAAAGTGATGTTTCAAAAAAAATGTTGTTTTCACTGGCAATGTGGGTTGCTAATGTATAAAGCATTAAATTGCTAGTTATCTCTGCAGTGCTTGATAAAGAAACTGAAAGAGATAAACAACTCATTGTAAGAACACTTAAGTATGGATAGGGTCTCTTTGTAGTTTCACATGGACTCCAATAAAACATGAACAATTAATGTTTACATTTATTATTGGAAAGGTAGCAGAAATTAACTACAAAGCCAAATACTGTTTTGCTTGGAGTTGGGTGAAAGCTAGCTTCAGCTGCTGATGCTGACAGCCATTCTTAACCCAGGATAAATATAAAATGTTAAGCTCCTTTGTGCAATAAGATAGCTGAAACAATAGGAGCCACTGCCCAAAGCACAGGCCATACACAATGCTGAACAGGAATTAAGCTATGTATATCAGGAACAGCCAACATGGATTATCAGTAGTGTTCCGCATTCTCAGTTTTTATTTTTAAAAAAAAAATCCGGAAATTCCTCAAAAAATAAAAACCAGGATGAAATCAGGATAAAAGAAAGAAAAAGGAAAAAAATCAGTTTAAATCAGGGAAAAATTGGCAGTGAGGGAAGGAAGGAGTAAGTCTGGGACTAGGAAAGGGGTGGAGGGAGAGACTCAGCGCACTCCTTTGGCCACTCCCAGGGCTGCAGCAGGGAGCAAAGCGGGGGGAGCTGTCAGTGGGTATGGGGTAAGGGGGCACAGCTCTTTCTGCTATGCACCCCCCACCCGGGAGTCCTGCAGGCTGGGGAGCCTGTGCCAGGCTCTTCCCGGGGTGCACATGCCCCCGGGTCAGTGGCAGGAAGCACATGGCACCATGCCCTGCCTTTCTTCCCTGGCAGCATTCTCGCCCCTCCGCATTTCTGCAGCAGTCTGCTGCCAGGCTGCCCTCGTGTTTGTGGAGAGGAGAGAGTGGCACACAGTCGGATATGCAGGAGGGACCCAACCCTGGCACTGGCACCTCCCGCCCTGCCTAGGGTCAGAGCCGGGAGTCCTGCACCCCCAGGCAGTGGCTCCAGCCCCACAGGCCTATGCAGAACAGCTGGGTGCAGCACCCACTGCAGGGAGTGGGGCCAGGCTCTCCTGCCTGCCCCCCAGGTGGGGTTCACAGCTCCCCATTCCCCTGGGAAGGGCAAAGCCGGAGCCACCAGGGTCAGCTCAAACCTGCCTGTCCCAGGAGAGATTCCCACAACCCATCCCACCTGGGGTCAGAGCCAGGAGCCCTACACCCCCAGGCAGCAGCTCCAGCCACCCTCCCCCGGCCCCTGCGCAGCCAACCCCCCCTCCGCCCCTGCTGTGTATGAGGCCACCACCACCCCTATGTCCAGCCGGAAACCTGTATTTCAGGCAACTAGCACAGCAGCACTTTTAGCTTACCAGCACCACCCATTTTCAATGTCTTACTTCCCACTCATGCCAGTTAACAGAGATTTGAACTGAAAAATAAGTGTAGATCAGTAAAAACTGAATAACTTAAAAAATCAGGAAATTTATCAGTGACAATCAGTAAAAACTGAGAATGTGGAACACTAATTATCAGAAAAGGCCATCATGGATTCACCAAGAGCAAGTGATGCCTGACTAACCTGATTTCTTTCTATGGTAAGGTAATAGGTTCTGTGGATGTGGGGAGAACAATGGGCGTGATATACTTTCTCTTTAGCAAGGCTCCTGTCACTGTCTCACACAGCATTCTTATTAACAAACTAAGGAGGTACAGACTGGGTAAAAGTACTGTAAGGTGGATACATAACTGGCTAGATCATTGTGCTCAATGAGTAGTCATCAATGGCTCAATGTCGAGTTGGGAGGAGGTATCAAGTTGGGTTTCCCAGGGGTCTGTCCTGGGTCCAGTATTGTTCAACATCTTCATTAGTAATTTGGGTAACAGAATTGATTGCATGTTTAGCAAATTTGCAGATGACATCAAGTTGAGTAGAGTAGCAGACACTCTGGAGGGCAGGGCTGGGATCCAAAATGACCTGAATAGACTGGGAAAATGGTCCTCAATCAATTTTACGAGACTCAACAAAGACAATTCCAGCACTTGGAATGGAATAGTTGCATGCACAAGTAGATACTGGGAATTGATTGACTAGGTTGCAGTACTGCAGAGAAGGATCTGAGGGTTATGATGGACTATAAGCTGAATATGAGCAAACAGTGTGCTCTTGCTGCAAAAAAAAAAAAGACAACAATATCTTGGTTTGTATTCATAGGAATGTCACTTGCAAATCAAGGGAAGTGATTCTTCCACTCTGTTCAGCACTGGTGAGGCCTCACCTGGAGTAGTGTGTCCAGTTTTGGGCCCCACACTTCAAGAAGGATGCGGATAGATTGAAACAAGTTCAGTGAAGAACAACAAAATGATTGGGGACCTGGGAAGCAATATTCATGAAAAAAGGCTGAAAAAACTAGGATTTTTAAGTCTGAAGAAAAAAGACAGAAGGCAGGTTTGCTAACAGTTTTCAAATACTTGAAGGACAATTATACAGAGGCTGGAGATGGTCTCTTCTCTGTGGCTGTAAGCAACGAGGCCAGGAGCAATGGACCCAAGCTGCAGTTTGTAGATTAGGAGGAAATTTCTGACTATGAGGGTACTTGAGCATTTGAACTAAAGAATTAGAGAAATTGTGAAATCTCCATCTTTAGACATTTTCATGGGGAGACTGTCATTTTCATCATTGCCCTTGTGTTCAAATTGCTACCAGCTGAGTAGCTTGTGGGACTGCTGGCTGGGTTCTCACACCAAGCATGCTGCACTTTTTAGGGTGAGTGGTTACAGCTTCTGGGCCCACACCACTAGTAGGCAATGAATCCATCTACCATCCTACACTCAACATCGAAGGAAGCAGCACAGCTAAGCTCCCTGTACTCAGATTGCTGCTGAATACATATACAGCTGTCATCCTCCTGCAGGAAACCCACTGTGAATCTCCTAACAGACCAGAACTGCAAGGTTTTAGTTTGGCTGCCTTCACCCTCAGCAAGACCTATGGCCTTGAACTTTTGTCAAAAGAGACACTGAGTGGTACCAAGTTGCTTCCTCACCAGATGACAACAACAAGTGGATCACTTTCAAGATCAGTGACATTTCCATCGTCAATGCCTCCAGGAATTCCTGTCTTCTGCCCAGCTGCCACCAATCCAACACCCATGCATTGTACTGGTTATCTCAATTCACAGCACACAGATTGGGGCTATAAGAACACAAATCTTGATGGAGAGTTCTTGGCTAACTGGGCATCAACAAACAACTTGTACCTGCTATTTGACTCCAAAGAACCTGGCAGCTCTGAGTCAAGAAGATGGCAAACAACTACCAGCCCTGACCTGGCTTTCTCAAGTGTAAATGTCAGCCTACCAGATGAGTGCTGGAGATGTTCCCATGGTCACAACATTGGCCATATCTAATCACACAGCTAAGCTTTGTAGCAACAACAAACAACAGCCCATCACTTAGGTGGAACTTTCACAAAGCCAGGTGGGAAAGATTCAAAACTGATACAAACTCTGTTGCTGAATCACTGCCAAACCCATGGAATACAGATGTGAATACCTCTTACACTGCATTTTGTGACGGTATTCTTAGATGTACCAAGAATAGTATCCCCAGAGGGTATAGGTATATGAAAGTTTCATCTCAGTAGAGCCAGAGCAAGCTAACAATGATGTCATAGAGCTCATCAACCATCTAGACAAACTTATAAAAGCCCAATGAGAAGAAACAATGGAGTCAATTAATTTCTCACACTCCAGCCAGAAGGCTTGGCAGAAGATAAACCAGCTCACAGGAAAGAAACAAAGTGTGAGCGAGTGCAAAATCAAAGCTGATGCCATTGCAGCTCAACTTGTGTGTAATGGCTGCTACATCAAACCTGACAAGGAATTCACTAGTCAGATAAAGAAAGAAGTTAAACAGCTCTGGAAGACATATGATCCCAATGCTCATCTGTCTGGAGAATTCAGCACTGAGGAAATGAAGGTAGCCCTTAAGCTTTTAAAGACCAAAAAAATCACCAGGTCTTGATGCCATACATGATGAATTTCTTTGTAACTATAGGGAGATGATGATCATTTGGCTTCGTGAGTTCATCTCCATCTGTGTCAAATGCAACAAGATCCCTCACATTTGGAGAAAGGCCACAGTTGTTGCAGTCTAACAAGACCAAGGATGATGCAAAGAGCTGTAGACCCGTCTCCCTCCTGTGAATTCCATTCAAGCTACTGGAACACCTCATTTATGCCCAAGTCTATCCCATAATTGATCCGCAGCTCCCTAAGGAGCAGGCTGGTTTTAGACACAGAAGATCAACAGTAGAGCAGGTAACTCGAGACATTGAACAGAGTTTTGAGGCTGGGGAAAAGGTGGACCTCACTGCTTCATACAACATTATCTGGCTCCATGGCCACTACTACAAGATCCTCTGAATGATATCTGACAAAACGATTGTCAGTTTTATTATGCTCATGCTTCAGAACCACAGTTTCACTATCAAGACCATCAATGGACACGAAAACCACCCTAGAAGTCTTAAGAATGGCATCCCTCAAGGCTTGGTACTTTCTTCATTGCTCTTCAATGTATACATTGTTGACCTGCCTGACACCCAGTCCAAGATGTATGGGCATGCTGATGACCTGGCTTTCACCAAATCAAGCAAGCGATGGGAAGCCATTGAATCTAGTTTGACATCAGATATGAACACCCTTGCCAACTACTTCCATAAATGGCATCTCCAGCTCAGCCTCACTGAAACAGTAGCAACAGCTTTCCACCTAAATAACAACCAAGCAAAGAAAGAAATAAAAGACAAGACTGGTGACTGGACACTTGAACATTGTTACACCATTACTTATTTAGGAGGCAAACTGGATCAGACCCTTACCTACCAACAGCATCTAGAAGGGTTCCAGGGTAAGGTTAACAGCAAAGGAGCTCTTATTCATTGACTTGTTGGCACCGCATGGGGTGCAAGTTTCCAAACACTTGGCACCTCCACTTTGGCATTTGCATATGCTCCTGCTGAGTACTGTGCACCAGTATGGGGCCAGAACACACACACTAAGTTAGTGGATTCCAGCCTTAACAGCATCATGAGGACCATTACCAGATATCTTATACCAACCCCAGTTGACTGCTTACCAGTCATCTTGGATATTTCCTGCCCCCACCCCTTCCCCCCTGCAACATCCAGAGACAAGCTACTACCCTGGCCTTAGGCCTCAAAGCTCAAGATCCAGACCAGTTTTTGCACTCCAGCCTAGTAGCCACAAGCCAGAAAACCAACTACCACCTGAAGTCTCAGAACCCGTTCTCCACTGAAGCCAATACGCTCATTGAATCTGCAGATGGCATGTCACCTACAGCATGGACCTCCCATCAATGGGCAGGAAATATGCGCAAAAGAATTGTGGCTAAGAACTTCATCCCCAACACCAGCTTCCACTCCTCAGGATGGCAGCGTCCACTCAGGTCCTGGACTTCTCTTAGCCACCTCAGAACAGGTGTTGGACATTTTAAGGCAAGCATGCACTTTTGGGGCTTCTCCAACAACACTGGCTGCAACTGTTGTGCTCAAGCTCAGATGGCTGACCACATCGTCTATGAATGCCCTTATGGCCCTCCTTTGGGCGCCCAAGGTCTTATTGACATTGACCATTCTACCTATTGCTGGCTTTCTGGCCCTCATGCTTCCAACTTGAGTATGGTGATACTCACCTCATCATCATCACAGGCAGATTGGACAGACACTTGGCTGGAATGGTTTAGTCAGGAACAATATTGCCTTGAACAGGGGGCTAGATTAAATAACCTTGTGAAGTCCCTTCCAACCCTGCCTTCCCACAATCCTATGTAGCTGAAGTGCTTTCATTAGGGGCTACATGTGAACACAGAAGGCTGTCTTTCATTTTGTTAGAACTGTTTGCATGTAGAAGGGTAAAGTCAGGCAAAGACACAACAGAAGTGGCCAGAGAAGACGAGAGAAAATTAAGCACATCTAGAGGACTTGTAGCATGAATCTGGAAATTCTTGTCAAAACACAAGGTATTCTATTCCCCTCTCTCTCAAAGGTCCTAGTCTTCTATGCCCTCTATACATAATACGCAACTGAGGAAACACTACTGAAGCAGATCAGGAAGGTGACAGAAGCCAGAGAAGGATTAGGGGACATGGTAGGGGACCTACAGATCGGTGGTCACCTGGGGGACAGTGATCACCAAACAATAGAATTCATCATAAGACATTGAGTGGGTAAGGTAACTAGTAGGGTGAAAGTGCTAGACTTTAGGAAAGCTGACTTCAATGAACTCAGGCGATTAGTCAAGGACGCACTGCTGAGTAGGAGTTTTGAAGAGATGGGAGCCCAGGAAGGGTGGCTGTGCCTTAAGGAAATGATCCTTCGGGCACAGAGGGAGACGATCCTGATATGAGGAAAAAGAGGGAAACGGGCCAGAAAGCTTCCCTGGCTGACCAGAGAAATCCAGAGCAGCCTACGGGCTAAAAGGGGAGCATATAAAAAGTGGAAACAGGGAGAGATTACCAAAGAGGAGTATACCTCCTCTGCTCGCGCTTGTAGGGAGGCAGTTAGACAGGCCAAAACTACCATGGAGCTGAGGATGGCATCCCAAGTTAAGGATAACAAAAAATTGTTTTTTAGATATATAGGGAGTAAAAGGAAGGCCCAGGGTGGAACAGGACCCCTGCTAAATGGGCAGAAGCAATTGGTGACGGACAGAGGGGACAAGGCTGAACTCCTCAATGAGTTCTTTGCCTCAGTGTTCCTAAGTGAGGGGCAAGACAAGTCTCTCACTGGGACTGTAGAGAGGCAGCAGCAGGGTGCCAAACTACCATGCATAGACCCTGAGATGGTGCAGAGTCACTTGGAGGAACTGGATGCTTTTAAGTC